TCTTTACCCGAAAAGCGGAGAGACCATACGTTGAGTGCGCTTACCCCGTCCGCAGGTATACCATTGATATACGAGGTGTGTTCAAAAAGTAACGAGAATTTTTCAATTTCGCGGGTTTGGAGAGTCCGCTTGTATAAAATTTTTTTTTATTATGTTGGTACACATGCCCCTGAAGTACGATAAAATTTTCAGCAATATTCATTGCTTACTTTTTAAGTGGCAGCCGCTAACGTTAGACGTGTTTTTCGAGCTCGGCGATTTTCGTTTGTGAAAAAAAATGGATCAAAGAATTTGTATTAAATTTTGCGTAAAAAATGAAATAAAGTGTAGTAAAGTTTGTCAAATGTTAACAAAGGCATATAGTGAGTCTGCTATGAGTAAAGCAAGGATTTATGAGTGGTATAAGCGTTTCCAAGATGGCCACGAAAACGTTGAAGATGACGAACGACCCGGACGCCCAAGCACATCAACAACCGATGAAAACGTGAAAAAAGTGAAAGAAATGGTTATGAACGATCGCCGAATCACAATCAGAGAAGTCGCTGATGATGTTGGCATATCAGTTGGCTCATGCCATCAAATTTTTTCGAATGTTTTGGGTATGAAACGTGTGGCAGCAAAATTCGTTCCAAAATTGTTGAATTTCGAACAAAAACAGCGGCGAATGGAAGTTGCTCAGGAGTCGCTAAATGAAGTCAATAACGATGCAGAACTACTAAAACGTGTTATAACAGGTGACGAAACATGGGTTTACGGATATGATGTCGAAACTAAGGCTCAATCGTCCCAGTGGAGGCATTCTGGATCGCCAAGACCGAAAAAGGCTCGACAAGTGCGGTCGAATGTGAAGGTTATGCTCACTGTGTTCTTCGATTTTAATGGCATAGTGCATTATGAATTCTTGCCACAAGGTCAAACAATCAATAAGCAGTACTACCTACAAGTTCAACGTCGTTTGCGTGAAGCAATCCGAAAAAAACGCCCGGATTTGTGGCAAAACAATTCATGGCTTTTGCACCACGATAATGCGCCTGCTCACACTTCATTGCTTGTTCGTAAATTTTTGGCCAAAAACGAAACTGTAACGATGCCTCAGCCTCCATATTCGCCAGATATGGCTCCATGTGACTTTTTTCTATTTCCAAAAATAAAGAGAACATTAAAAGGCCGTCGTTTTACAAGCATAGATGACATTAAAAGCGAATCGCTGAAAGAGCTAAAAGCTATTACAAAGATCGAGTTTCAAAAGTGTTTCGAGGATTGGAAAAAGCGTTGGCATAAGTGTATTGTATCCGAAGGGGACTACTTTGAAGGCGACAACATTAATGTAGATGAATAAATAAATATTTTTTTCATAAAACGAAAATTCTCGTTAGTTTTTGAACACACCTCGTACTTTATTCGCGGAGGGCCGCTGTCTCTGCTTGGCTTCTCTACCTTTTTTCTAAGCGATCTTTCTGTCCGCGTATCACAACTATCAGTATCCGACGGGAACGTGCTCGTATCGCTAACCCCGAAAGTGTCTATCTTTTTAGCTTGTCTACTCTTAGACCGCTTCGCGCTGGCTACGCTATCTTTGCCTAACGAGGCTGGCACCCGGGTTTCATTTGCCGTAGTTTTCTGTACTCCGCGCTCCCAGTGTTCTACCCAAGAACTTACTATAGGCGCGTGGTACTTCATACTCACCGATCTATCTGAATCAGCGTAGATGGACGCACTACCTGCTAAATTATTTCGCGCATTCGCGTGAGCAGGTGGCTCAGTCGCAACCACTAGCATGTTTAGCGCCACGCGATCGCTGAGCGGCTTAGCCTTAGGCGGTAAGGGACCCTGCTGCTCGGCCTGAGTCTCTCCACTGTGCACTACCTCACTCTCTACCCTAAGAACTGCATTCGCGCTATCCGTGATACTCTGTCTCACTTCGCGTTTATAAATCCAGCGTGGTACTGCCGCAAAGGCCCCCCAGATTTAGCATAGTGCACTGGTGCTGCTTTCGCCCTGGATTCGGCGTTCCTGCTCGCGCGCGCGTAAGTTCACGCCATCCGACGGCAACCGAGCTGTCGACGGTGGCTGGACTGCCGAAGGTAGCACATCTCTGTTGACAGCCGCATCTGTGCCTCTGCCCGGCGACTGGGTTTACCTGCGCGGAGGGGCGACGCTTGATACCTGCGTTGCCTGCTCTTGTTCGCGCGGCAATTCAGCCGCCAAGGCCGCAGCAGCTGTTACGGACTCATCACCGAAATTTGTGCGTCGCGCACTGTCCGCTGCCGCATCACGCGATTTGTCATGCAGCAACTCCGGGATCCGACCAAGCGCAAAGTCGCTCGGATGTACCGGTGCTTGCAAATCTAGTCGCTTTTTTCTTAATAAAAAGCACAAGTATCGGTCTCGCAACTCTTCTAAGTCCCCGCGCAGAATAAGTTCGTGATAGCTCATTAGCTCAAGCAGTACGGCCAGTTCTGTTAAGTCAATTTCGCGTTTAAGACTTTTCGCGTGCCCGTCGCGTAATATTCTACGCATTATGATCCTATCTCTACAAGCTAGTGACATTTTCTGTGGCCAACCAAAATTCGAAATATCGAGGCAGCGTGTGTTTATCGCGTGTTATGCAGTTCGACTTATTTTCGAATTTATTTTCGAATTCTCTTGCAGGCTTTCAGCCGGCGCGCGATCGCCTTGCATAAGCCTCACAATGAAAAGTCGCCATATGCCCAATTCCACTGTTTAAGTTTGGGTCCGATGTCAAAACAACCATATGACGCAATCGCGGCCACTCGACTCCCCCACTAAGAAAAGGTCACTGGTAATCCAAGACAAAACACTCTTAGAAAAGTAAACACGGTGCTAGAGGTTCTTTTCTTTGTGCGCGCGTTTTGCCATTAGTATACGATGGGAAATTCCCGATTAACCATTTATTAATTTACCATACCCGATCATGTTATCTCAATTGCTAGGCACACAAGGGATGCCATGTAACGAAAGCTCGTTCGTTAACCATTATTTAAAGGTGGGCAAGTGAGGCGCACTCGCTCATAGCAATTGAGGCGGGAAGAGGAAAGAGGCAAAGAAATGAAAATGGTTAATAAATTATACACACAAACAAATTCGCATTTTAACATATCTAATTAAATCAAACACAAATAAAAATAATACTTAAACTTCGCAATACCGCACATTAACAAATCGCATAAGAATAAACCGCAAAACACACACTTTAATCGAATAACCACAACGATGTTCTTAACACCTATTACAAAAGAGGGCAAATTAACTAACTTATCGCGCTTACAAAATCGCCCGGCAGATGACCACCTTGACGATAAACCGACTTAGGCTATTTAGCTAAAAGAGAAAGTCGCCCGGCGAGGGATCGCCTGGACGATTTCTCTTTGCGTGATTTATTACCTGATCGTCATTAGGGCAGGTAGCCGGCGTGTCCACGCCTTGCCACCCATCTAATATTTGAATCTACGTACAGTGCCGTCGATGAAGAGAGAGAGAGAAAGAGAGAGAGAGAAATTTGCGAACTTGACCTTTGATGCTGGAGCGGGAGTCCTGGCTGCGCCCTGCGCACGTTGTTGCAGGTCGTCGCTGGGCAACTCCTGCCGGCTTCCTAGGTAGCGTCCCGAGTAGTTGCAGGACCAAGTCGTCTTCTCCTCTCGGTTTCTTCTCTGCCCTTTGTTCTCGGCTGAACTTCTGACTTTTTCACCGCTGGCCGTCCACCGTCTTGCTCCGGTCGACTCGGAAAACCTTCTGAGTCTGCCCTCGACTTACTACCGTCTGTGTCGCTCGTTTTTCCTCGCGATCTACAGCTTCTTCGTCGATCTTTTCTCTTCCCACTTGATCTACTTATTAGGCGGCCCGCGACCAATGCGCTAATTGGTTCGAAACGCGCGCCTGCCTAATCTTGCGTAGGGCACGCACGCCCCCGACTATTTCTCTCTCTCTCGTCAGCGTAACAGCTTCGGGTCTGCTCTGTCCCGCTCGGCAATCTCCGTCAGCTAAAACAGAGACCATTCTTAAATGCGCCTAACTCTGGTCACCGTGCCTTGCCGAGAGAGAGGGGAACTTGGGAAAATTCCGACGAGACCAAGTGCAACGCTTGCTCTCGTCTCACCCCCTTCCAGGCGAAAGTTCGCACCTGCGAACGGCCTAATCTCCACCCTCTCAATCTCTTTCTCTCGACTAGCAACTGGCAACCAACGTTAAACGCTCATACCTAAATAAACAACTTAAACATAGCTTAATTAAACTTAAGTCTAGGTTGGTAACAACCAAAATACAGAGACCATGCATTAGACGCATTCTTAAATGCGTCTAACGCTGGTCACCGTGCCTTGCCGAGAGAGAGGAGAACTTGGGAAAATTTCGACGAGAACAAGTACAACGCTTGCTCTCGTCACAGCTAAAAGTAAAACATTACACTTATGCAATTTTTCTTAGTTAGATTATATTGAATATCATCATTTTACATGCTAAAAAATAAGTTATGTTATATTTATCTAATCAGAATAATTTATAATAAAGTTTTAATGTACAAATTGTTAATTTTCCAATGGGTGTTTTGCTACTGGGTTAGTCACCCTTATTAAATGTTTTCTCAAGTATAAGAGAGTCGTGGTAGCTCAATAGATAGAACGCAGCACTCCCATATGAGAAAGCTGATTGGTTTCTCGGTGGTTACTAGTGGTTTTTATTTAAAATATATATGTCACAATAGTGCCACGGCTTTGATGGCTTTTAATCCATAATTATAGTATAGTTACGGTAATCAGGAGGTTTAGAAATTTTCTGATTGTCTATACGAGAGTTTGCGTCAGTTAACATAACCATAGCAATAGGGGAAAAGCGTCTTATATTACAATTATATTATAATTATGTATTATATATCTTAAAGTTCTGAAAAGAGAAAATAGAACAATTATAATTATTTCACCAACAAAATCACCGTTATAGAATTACTTGATAACTTTATTAATTTATACTATTTGGATTTCCAGTTAAGGCCAGACTTTCCACGACCTGTCCAAGACATAGATATTCATATAAATAGTAAAGATGATATAGTATGGCAAGAACGTATCAAACAAGTCATGGAATTAACAAGTCGATCTGAAGATGAAGCAATCATGGCTTTACATGACAGTGACGGTGATTTAAATAGGGCAGTAAATGATTTACTTGAAGGAGTAAGTCCTGAATGGGAGGTTAAAAAGAAAAAAGCTCGACAATCTGCAGGTTCAAAGTCAATCACAGAGCAAGTTGGAGAGATGGAAAGTAATATTTATCATTGGAATAATAAATGCCTCATTTATAATGACGGATCATCGCACAATCGTGGACGAGCTAATCATAATAATAGAGGATGTAAGTTCAAATATTTTATGTGTCATCAATTTACTATTATTAATCATTGATATTTTAATAATATACTAAACACACACGAATCCATGAAAAACTATTTTTATTAAACTAAATTCTTTCTGTTTATTTTAAACTATTGTTCTAAATAATTCTAAAATTAAAGATTCTGGTCGGACGAGTCAGATATACTGTCCTGAAATATGTAAAAAACGAAGAGTATTGATATTCTATATTAAAATACACTTAACGTGTTACGATTACATTAGGCTTATATTTATTTAACTTTATTTATTTTTTATATAGTATCAATTTATTGTAACAGGCTACCGCTTAGTCGCAAATCCTGGGTAATTGTAGTTACGAATACGACCAAACGGTGCTCTGTTAGCTGTACGCTTCGAGCACACTCACTCACCTCGCTCCGGTGTACGCATGCGCCAAGTTCTCTCAGTGATCCAACTTAGATGCGCGAGCTCTCCGCAAGGGGCGCTGATGCGCTTGCTTGCCAGCGCTCCGTCGGCCGCTGCAGACGACTAGGTCGACGAACAGCTCCTTCTATGCTTTCGCAATCCGTGCTGGATTACCGGCGCGTTCGAATCAAATGTAAACAATAACACCGACACCGGACAAAGGGTATACGAAATAATAAGAACGGCTCTTATTGATCTCTAACAAGTTTATTTAACCAAAACTAAACCTGTACAAGGGACGATTTGCCGAGAGGCTGAACGCACGCTATTTCGACATAATAATTTGAATGGGGAGAGAGAGAGTAGATTTCGCGGACGTCGCGGACTATTCGCACGCAATCTGCCTAAAACTCACCGCGCACGCTGCGCGGGATCGCACGCTAAACGTAATTCGAACATACCGCTGAATCGATGAGGATACGGTGGCTAACCGTATCCGATTATACTAAAAGTACGTGCTGCCTCCTCAACTGCCTCTTCAACCGCCTCTCGTTGCCAAAGTTACGCAGCCGTGGATGTTGTCGAGGTTGAGCTCGCTGCTGCCGGCGCCGCACACGTTGAGCAGTGTGCGCACTCGACACTCCACTCACTAATTATCCACTCGATCTCCTTCCTTATCACTCGGAAGAAAACACGCTGTCGCTTCAAACGTTAAACGCTGCGATGTCGCCGGACTGAAGGACACAGTCATACTAGCTCGCTACCTCTCCCCTCCCGGTCATTGCCCCTAACGCGCCCTCTCTCTCCCTCTAACCCAAGCCGATCACGGCTATTACACTTAGCCACGCTCCACAGTCTACGCGAGTCCTAACGATTTTCGGCAATCGTTGCATTATTTATCTATTGATCTGCCTTTGGCCAACATTTAATCAATCCACGTGACTTACAATGTTTCCAACAATCATGTTTTTGACAATGTACATGCTAACATAGACTTGGAATCATTTTTTCATTTTATACAATATGTTTATCTATTATTTTGTCAAAAGTAAAATGTTGATATATTGAATGTATCGATGAGAAGGAATTTAAATAAGGCTAGGGAATATTTTATTACAAAATATAATTAAAATCACCATCAACTTCAAATTGGTCTAGTTATTACATTTATAATTTAATAATTCAATATTGACCATCATTTCTTTACTCTTTGCTTGAAAATAAAGATTTAAACTACACTACTTACGAAAATTAAAGAAGTAAGAAATTTTCTTAGTGATGTTTAGCAAGCTGTTTTTAAGTGAAAAATGATTGTATTACTCATTTAAGGAAAGGATTTCGTAATTCTAAGATTCTAATTTGTATGAATTTCGATTAAAAATTTTTAGGGGTTTCAGTTCTTAAATTTTAAGAAATAAGGCGAAAAAAATATTTGCAATTTATTTTTGATGTTTTTTTATTGCTCAGCAGGTTTATGAATACTTTTTTTAACTAAACCACTGGATGGACTGGATAGTTTATTTATTTAGTTTCTATTTCCTTTTTTAAAAACTTCGATATCACCATTTTTCATTGAAATGTCGGACATCTATTAAAATAAAAATCTTTTTCTGTTAAATCACCGATATCAGAATAAATAATGATCTTACAGAGAATCTAAGGTCAGTTTCGAAAACTTGAATAAATTTCTAATGAGATACTTTTAAGTTAAAAAAACTCTTTTTCTACTCTCAGTGTTGAATTGAAGAAAGTAATATAAAGTAACTTTTTTCCTTGATTTGAAAAATCCACTGCATCTTATAATAGAATATCGCGGCATGGCCGACGTTCTACCGTCGGGCTTTCGCCGAGGTCTGTGCATCGTACTTAGCTGTAAGTGTGTGCGTATAGAGCACATAGAGATGAGAGAGAGAGAGAGAGTGAGCAGGGTAGAAGATAGAAGAGAGATGGAAAGTAGAATAGCGAGATAGACGATAGGAAAGAAAGATCGGGAGTTACGCGCACCCTCGCGCCGATTTTCAGTCATTATCTGCAAGGTTGTGTACGCGCGCTTTTTCTTTCTACGTTTCCTTGAGTTTCCCGCGCTGTCGCCGACGAGAATAGTTTTTGGAGATGCGTCCGTTGTGTGCAGTAAGTTGTGTTACTGACTGGATCGCGCCACTGATTTTGGATTGATACTCGGCACCGGTGCGTGTGTGTGAGTATACTGGCGAGGCGACGTGGATACACGCGTGAGCGGCTATTATCGCTAGCGAAAGACGGATGGTAGGAGTGTAGCGACGAGAAGCAGCAACAACAGCAACTCAAACGCCAACGACAACGACAGAAATAACAACAGTAACAACACCAGCGACATCGGCGTTCCCAGCTTCATCGATAACATCGACGGTAGCAACAATGGAATTGGGAATCACCGGACGAGGTCGGTGCCGCGTTTCTTTCTCTTTTTTTCGCATAGTTTGGGTATCAGCTTATTGCAGGTAGCGTGGCAGACTTGAAAGTTACGCCGTCGGTGGCGATCGTTGACTTGTTTGTATGCACGCTATTATTTTTGTTATGTTAGCTCTAAGGGTAAGTGATAAGTGAATGGGGGGGGGGGGGGAGTGATAATCCTTGCCATCGATTTACCTTCGCGAGCACGAGATTGTTGTTGTCATGCAGATAGATGCCACGTGGATGGATCTTTCGAGATTATAATGATCTGAAGCATACTGTTCGGCTTCTTTAAAACTTTTTTACAATAAAAAAAAACGTGTTCTTAAGTGGTCTAGTTCTTGACCCAATTTAAATTCTTTTGAATCGGAATGAAGTGGGAAGAGCTTAAGAAGAAAGTAGGATTAGCAGAATTGTTCAAATTTATATATGTTATAGGAAACAGTGCAAAGTGAATGGTAAAATATCGAAACTTTGATACGATCAATGTCTCGACGATGTACAGCAGTACTCGCTGCTAAAGAAATGTCAGCAAAGTATTTAGCTTGTATTTATGAAAATATTATTGTTATTGGCTCTAATAATACATATTATAAAGAAATTTATTAGGACTTGATTATTTATGTTATTTATTTTAATGTTTATTTTTATATAAAAACATTTATTTTATTTGTCTGTAATTCATTTAATTAGAAAAAATTGTTGAGAACATAAGTTTGATGTATTCTGATAAATTTTATTGTAATTTTGCTGTTATGATAATGTATAATACTGATAAAATATACTTGATTAAACTTAAGTAATATTATTTCGTTTTAATGTACTCATATTCATAAAAATATTATTTATAAAAGTTCAATTAAAAATAATCCAATAGTGATACGAGGGGGGGGGGGGGGGTCAATAAGTCCTTACAAAAAGAAGGAAAAAAAAGTTTTGCGTATGTAATTTTTTTTTATTTTTCAACATAATTTCCTTAAAGATCGATACATTTTATTAAACGGCCTTCCAGTTTTTTTAAGCTATCAGCAAAATATGATTTCTGAAAATCCTCAAAATAGGTATTTGTTTCGGAGATGACTTCTTCATTCGACGTGAATCGTCATCGTCAGGCAAGCCATTTTTTGAGGTTAGGAAATAAGAAAAAGTCACTGGGAGCCAAATCAGGCGAATATGGTGGATGGTCAATTAATTCGAACTTTAAATCGTTAAGTTTTGCCATCGAAACTGCATACGTGTGAACTCGAGCATTGTCTTGAAGAAAGAGGCATTTTTTTTGTTCAAGTGAGGACGTTTTTCTCTGATTTTTTCTTTCAGCTAACCTAATAATGACGCATAATATTATCCACTGATCGACTGACCCTTTTCCAAGTAGACGATGGAGATGATTCCATACGCATCCCTGAAAACCGTGGCCATAATCTTGACAGCTGACTTTACGGTCTTTGCCTTTTTTGGGGCTGGTTCTCCTGCGGTAATCCATTGTTTAGACTATTCTTTGGTTTCAGGAGTGTAGTGGTGTACCCATGTTTCATCTACAGTTAAAAGTATGCGTGCGAAAAGAGCCTCAGAGGTGACCACGCGGATTCGTTTGTTTTCAACAGTGAGCGAACGCGGCACCCATCTTGCTGATATTTTTTTCATCCCTAATTTTTCATACAAAATTGAAATGATTGTACCCTTTGATACCCCTGTGGCCTTAACTAATTCTCACAATTTTAATTTTCTATCACTCAACACCATATCGTGGATTTTGTTGACCATTTCGGGCATACCTACTTCTACAGGGCTTCCTGAATGAGGTTCATCTTTTGTTATTGTATGATCGCTTTTAAATTCAGTTGCCCAGTTATAAACAGTCTTAAACACAGAGGCAGACTTGCCATGAACGGCGTTCAACTCAACTGTGATTTCTTTTGGTGTAAGACCTTTCAAATGAAAATGTTTTATCACCGCTCGAAACTCTATGTTTTCCATTTTTAAAATAAACCAATTATTGTTCAACCAACGCTCACAAAAAAGCAACTTAATGAATTGAGCTGAAACTTTGTACGATATCTAGTTAGTAGTATTGCTTGCCAAAAACATCATAATTTAAGCCTGACGAGCGCCATCTCTTGGATTATGTAAAGACTTATTGTCCCCCCCCTCGTACATGGT